TTTAAAAACAAGAAATATAAAACCCCAAATCCTAAATACCTAGTAATAGGACACATAATTATTATATGATTAGATGGAATACCAAAGTTCATCATAAGTGACTTATCAAAGGAGAAACAATATTTTTTACTTAAAACGTTAAAGAATTATGCAGTTCAATGTGCTCGTTACTTAATAATTCTTAAGCCAAATTTTGTACTCAAGAACATCCTGAATTCCGTTAAATTTGAGGTAATATATGTTTGTTTGCATATAAATCCTGTAAGAAGTAACCACATAATAAAATACCTAGGAACAAACCTATCAAAGGAGGCAAAAGACCTGTATTTGAAAAAATGTATTTGAAAAATTTGAAAAAATGTAAGACACTGGTGAAAGAAATGGAAGACAACACAAACAGATGGGAAGATATACCATGTTCATGGATTGGAAGACTTAATACTGTTCAAATGACCATATTACCCAAAGTAATCTACAGATTCAATGCCAAGGGCATTTTTCACATAAATAGAACCAATAATTTTAAAATCTGTATGGAAACACAAAAGACCCCAAAAAGCCAAAACAATCTTGAGAAAGAAGAACAGAGCTGGAGGAATCATGCTCCCTAACTTCAGACTATACTACAAAGGTACCGTAATCAAAACAGTATGATACTGGCACAAAAACAGACACATAGATCAATGGAACAGGACAGAAAGCCCAGAAATAAAGTCACTCACTTATGGTCAATCAATCACAGGAGGCAAGAATATGTAATGGAGAAAAGACAGTCTCTTCAATAAGTGGTACTGTAAATACTGGACAGCTACATATAAAAGAATAAAATTAGAACATTTACTCACACCATACAGAAAAATAAGTTCAAAATGGATTAAAGTCCTAAATGTAAGACAAGAAACTATAAAGCCCCTAGAAGAAAACATCAGGAGAGCACTCTTTGACATAAATCACAGCAATTTTTTTTGACTCTATCTCCATAAGCAAAGTAAATAAAAGCAAAAATAAACAAATAGGGCCTAATTAGACTTAAAAGCTTTTCACAAAATAGCACCCAAAGTAATAAAATACCTAGGAATAAATCTAACCAAGGAAGTGAAAGAATTATACACAGAAAACTATAAACCATTAATGAAGGAAATTAAAGAAGACTTTAAAAAATGGGAAGATATCCCATGCTCTTGGATTGGAAGAATCAATATTGTTAAAATGGTCACACTGCCCAAGGCAATCTACAGATTTAATGCAATCCCTATCAAATTACCCAGGACATATTTCACAGAACTAGAACAAACCATAATAAAATTTATATGGAACCATCAAAGACCTAGAGTGGCCAAAGCATTACTGAAGAAAAAGAAAGAGGCTGGAGGAATAACTCTCCCAGACTTCAGACAATACTATAGAGGTACAGTCATCAAGACAGCATGCTACTGGTACAAAAACAGACATATAGACCAATGGAACAGAATAGAGAGCCCAGAAATGAATCCACAAACTTTTGGTCAACTAATCTTCGACAAAGGAGGCAAGAATATACAATGGATTAAATGTAATAAAGACAGTCTCTTCAGCAAATGGTGCTGGGAAAACTGGACAGCAGTATGCAAAGCAATGAAGCTAGAACACTCCCTTACACCATACACAAAAATAACTCAAAATAGATCAAAGACTTAAACATAAGACAAGCTACAATAAACCTCCTACAAGAAAATATAGGCAAAACATTATCTGACATACATCTCAAAAATATTCTCCTAGAACAGTCTACTCAAGCAATAGAAATAAAAGCAAGAATAAACAAATGGGACCTAATGAAACTTACAAGCTTCTGCACAGCAAAGGAAACCATAAGTAAAACAAAAAGACAACCTATGGAATGGGAGAACATTTTTGCAAATGAAACCGAATATATAAGCAGCTGATACGACTTAATAAGAAAAAAACAAACAACCCAATCCAAAAATGGGCAGAAGACCTAAATAGGCAATTCTCCAAGGAAGACATACAAATGATCAATAGTCATATGAACAAATGCTCAATATCACTAATTATCAGAGAAATGCAAATCAAAACTACAATGAGGTATCACCTCACACCAGTCAGAATGGCCATTATTCAAAAATCCACAAATGACAAATGCTGGAGAGGCTGTGGAGAAAAGGGAACCCTCCTACACTGCTGGTGGG